ATGCTCTGACTCCTCGTAGAGTTCAGGTGAAGGAGAGAGGTCTGCTCTGGGTCCCTTCATGGTCACCAAAACTGTCCACTAGAAAAAAAGAAAAAGAAGAAGAAGAAGCACAACCTAAAAATTGAGAATTATGTTTTATTCCGTGGACTTTGTAGACTTCAAGCCTGGGAGGCAGCCTTTTAGACAGCTCTGAGGGATTGCTCTAAAGAGATAAGGGAGGAGCTAGGATACACAGAAGTTTTGCAACAAAGACCAGGTAGTCAAAACATGAAAAGATTACTGTTAATTTAAAAAAAACAGCTATATCAAGTTAATGAATAGAGCTTTTCTATGTATGGGAAGATGCAAGAGTCTGGGCTCATTGAAATCATTCCTTTGCATTCCTTTGGTAGGCTCCTTACCCTCCTAGGGCCAGTATACTATTCTTCCCCATCCTGAGTCCTCTCTGGGTGCATGGCTGGGGGATGGCTGCAGTGGCTGAGGGCTTGCCAGCGGGTAGCCTGTTTGTCTCCATTTTGAGTTCCTTTAGGGCTCACCATCAGGGCAGGGGTATATAACGCAGGCAACATTTATCATTCACATCTCCCTGCATCTTCTCTGTAGGTCTCCACACTCTCCCAGAAGGCCATGTTGCACCAGACTCAAGCTCCAGCATCATGGCAGACTAAAGTTTGAGAACATGTGAAAGCAGGCAGCTGTCTTCCCATCATGGTTTTGAATATCATTAAATATATAGCATTTATTATATTATATTATATATATATATAGAATATATTAAATATAATAGCATTTGTGCAATGCATGTACAGCACAAGACTGCTAAAAAGTACAAACTCATACATGGTCTTATAAACATTTCATCTTTTTTTTAAACCTTGTTCATGTATTTTAAATTATCCTGCTGAGCTACAGAAATGATACGGTAAAGAAGTTTCCATTAAAAAGTAATGAAGTGAGACTAAGCCTGAACAATTTAAATGCACATCCTTAGTACTGCCTTACCTTTGCCCCTTTGCTGCCAACAAACTATAGACTTCTTGTCTAGGTTTTTTGTCTTACAGGCACTATTATCAATATCTAGATAAAGTGCCAGAATAAATATGTTTTCCTTGGTTCATGTCAAAATATTTTCCTTGACCATAAACATGAATCTACATACCCAAATGAATAAGTTGTCAAAACTTACAGTTTGAAATTGGTTTAAGGAAACTTAGCTCCAGTAAGAAGTAACTTGCATGTCACTTAGCTGATCAATGGAAGTTCAGATACTTCCAGTACAGAACTCTTTGATGACACCATACTGATCCTAAAACAATAGTGAATTTCTGAACACAGTTGTCACAGAGAACAGTATGACCTAAGGAATTTCACTGATTCTCACAGAAATATTTACACAGCTGAGTTTGTAGAGGTTATCTGGTAGTTCAATGGGAAGAAAGAACCTTTAGTTCTGTGCATCATACCTCCAAGGAAATTAAAGAAATACAGTGAAATGGAATTAGAATTGTAGAGTTCAAAGACGTCATACAAGAATGCTTAGCATTGTGTAATTTATAATTGCAAGAAAATCAGATCAATCATAAATAGCAATGGAGAAAATGTTCAATGAATCAATAGAATACTGTGCAAATGTAAAAATTATTTTTCAGTAAGTATTTGAGGGCATGTGAAGATGGCTATGGCAGGGAGGGTATAGCTCAAGTGGTAGAGCACATGCTTAGCATGCACAAGGTCCTGGGTTCAATCCCCAGGACCTCCTCTAAAACTAAATAAGTAAAATCTAACCACCTCTCCCACAAAAAAAAAAAATTTAAACAAAATAAGTTAAAAAAGAAAAAGATGTTTATGGAATCTGAACCTTTGGTTCTAGAGAAATACGGCAGGCCAAGTGTGGCTTCCAGGCTGGGCTTTAGGAGGCCTTGTAAGTTCCATTTTTGCATTCCTGGAATCCAGTTTCCCTGTAAGGAGCTCAAGCTGTGCTATAGAATGAGGAAGAACAGGAGAGATTGTGGAAACCGAGAGGGCATTTTGGATGTTCTGGCACCCACGGATGCCACCTGGAGCAGATGAACAGCCCAGCTGAGCCCAGGCCAGATTACAGAATCATGAAAAATGATAAATCATGAGTTTGGGGGGTGGGGGGCACTACGTTTTGGAGTGGCTTGTTTTTGTAGCAATAGGTGACTGAAAAGGTAGGGTAATGCAGATCCCCTCTCAATATAAATGCTTACAAATGAGAGATAAATTGTAACAAAAAATATTTGAAAACACATAGCTTAACTGACAGGAAAGTGAAGGTGTCACAAGTGAAGAGGAATTTGAAAGCCAAAACAGCAGCCTGGTGGCCTGAAGATGAGGCAGCCCCCAGGGCTGCAGTTCAGTTGTTGATGCTCTGGGAGGCTCTGTGGTTAGAAATGTGGGCTTTAATGCCCACCTGGGACCTGGGGCCACTCAAGGGAAGGAGTTGACACTGATACTTCTACATAAATAAATCTGGGACTCCCAGCTCAAAAAATTAACAAGGGGGCTCGAGCCCAGGGTGCTGCATGGGGAAAGAAAAAAGCTCCCATAATAACTAGAAAACAGAAATGCACCCTGAGTTTGAAACACAATTTTATCCAAAAGCATACAGTAATGCACAAACAGAGAAACTGATTTAGTAGCTGGTTATAGACCAGTGTTATCCCTGGTAGAGTTAGCAAATGGAAGTGTGAAACTATCCCTTGGAATTCCTACAGAAGAAATCAATTTCTGAAGATGAGTTCACAATTTTAACTTCCAAAACACACAAAGAAATGGTCCATCATGAATGTGAGCCAGTGGGTAGAATTACAGGATGATTAGCACTATCAGACCTTGAAGGAAATACTGAAGATTTTATAAAATAAATACAGTTAAAGGACAAAAAAAGATTAAAAGCAGATAAAAACCTTAAGAAAAGAGCCAACTATGAAAAATTAACAATTTGGAAAAAGCAAGCAAATATGTAGTAACATAAATGACACATGAAGAGACATGGTATAGAAGGAGAAAACCCAAGACGTTTTGTGTTCAGCAAGAGTTCTAAGAGGGGATAGTAGTCAGTATTTGAAAGATAATGGCAAAGATTTATTGTAACTGGTAAAAGTCATAAATTTTAAGTTAAAAGAAGAATAATAAATTACAAGATGGATGTATTTAAAATAAATTCACATGTATGCACTGCAGAACACCAAAGACAAAAAAAAAAAATAAACAAAGAGAAAAGTGAGTTAACCATGAAGAAGTAAGTATTGCACAGACAGCAGGTTTCGCAAGATCAAGGATTTAAGTCAGAAGGTATGGAGTCATTCTGAGTCTTCAGATCATAGATAAAAATGAGTGTCAACATAAAGTTCTTCACTAATTTCACTGTCATTTAAGAAAATGATATCTGCCATTTTCAGGAAGAAAGAAAAGTTTGCTACCCACATACCTTTTCTCAAAAAACTACTAAAGGATGCACAATAGTAAGAAGAAAACTGAGCCCAGAGGAAAGAGTAGGGTGTGGGGAAAAATTGCAAGCTAAGAAAAATGGTAAACACAAAGGAAAATTAAAATATATATTGACTGTAAACTTACAGTAATTAATTAATTGGTGGCTGGTTACAAACAAGGTAAAACAAAATTACTATTTATGCATATTTAATAATACACAAAGTAATACTACATACTTCCCATCATGTGTATATTTGTAAATGTCTATGTGTGTAAAATAAAAACATGCAAGCTACTGATTCACACTAACGTCAGGATTCGGTAATCACTTGGAAGGGAGAGAAATAGTTTTAATTTATCTATAAATTAATTTATCTGTAATGTTTGATTTTTTAAAGTCAAATAAAGATCACAAGGAAATTTGAAAAATATTAACACATTTTAAATCTAGATGGTGAATATATTCTAGGTATGTTTTACTGTTGTCTGTAATTTTCTTCATGGTTGCAATTTTCATTATTAAAATTAAAATTTATGATTCTGTGTATCTGAATGAAAGGTATAGAAAAGTAATATAAGGAAACACTCCATAACGTTAATGACAGACGTCGTTGTGCATAGAGGCGTTATGCAGGATTATTTCTGCTCTTGTCTGCTTTTGGATATCTTAAATATTGTCTGCAACAGGCATGCTATTGCTTTTATGTTCACATACACACCTCAAAGAGTATATTTTTTGATTCATAGGACACTAGAATAGAAAGTTAGCTCAGAGATCATCTCCAATCCTTCCTGGAAGAGATGCAATAATATATGGCGATGGAAGTCAGAGCAGTTGTTGGTTCCAGCAGGAGCACAGTTAATAATTGAAAAGGGAACTTGCCGGGGCGCTGGGAATGTTCTACAACTTGGTAGTGGTGTGGGTTAAATGTATGCATTTTTCAAAACAAGCTGAAGTATACTTAAGATCCATGCATTGCCCTATATGTGGATTTATACCTTTTTTTTAATCTAAACAAAATTAATAACAAAGAGCAGGGGTCCTTGTAAGGCACGCTGTCTTCTTAGAGCTCTCACAAGTGGAGAACACAGCCAATGCGTCCTTCATAACGAAGAGCTCAGAGTGGTGGGATAACCATCCCACTAATGACTTCTGCAAGTCAGTATTATATAAATTATTATTGCTTCTGTGTAGAGCCCTGGAAACGGGGGCGCATAAACAGGCCGAGAAGGGAGGGAACACCATTTCAAGGTTGGGTTTTTCAAAGAATACTTTGAAGAGTTGAGTTAATCATCCCGTCAGCCGAAGCAACTTGTCAACATGGCATATGTTTATTTGCAGTGATTTATATCCTCTTTAAAGATACCCCGGGCCAACAATTACAGCTCAAACATCCAAAGCTCTTTGATAGTCAAAGAAGATATTTCTAGGCATGTCTGAAGGGTGAGACACACTTCAATCGCTGTATTAAAAAGATATTCCTTGCTCCATCTACGGAGGCATCTCATCTTTAATCTAACAAATGGTTTCTCCTTGTCTTCAGCAGGGGCACAAGATGAAGCAAAGGGACACAGAAACAGAAGGAAATGACAGTCCTCAGCATTGCAGACCTCTCCCGGCCCGGGGGTGTAGCAAGACAGCCGGGCACACTTGGAGGGTGTGGGGTGGGGGGAGGCGAGTCCCATGGAAGGATGGGGAATTCTTTGCTCTAATTTCTACAGCTGCATTTTGTTCTGTTTCCCCACAGAAAAAAGAAAGAAAAAAAGAAAAAATATATGTTTTTTCATTTGGTGGGGGGACCCGTGTTAACGCATCTTTCAGGCGCCAGCCCTGTACTTCCTGTCTTTTCCCTCACAACTCTGCCCCAGGGTCGCAGTGGCACGTGTAACACACATGTGTATCTGGTTATTTCACAAAGCTGGTTGGTTCAGTGGTTTCTTCAAAGAACGAGAAGGAAGATGACTGTTTGATAAGCTGCAGGCTACATTTCAGGAATCATCAGACCCTACATAAGTATAATCCACAGACAGAGGAGGCAGGCTAGAAAATGGGCAAAAACCGCAGACATCACTTGGAAAAAGGACAGGATGATGAACTGAAAACGGTATTTTATTCAGGATTCCCAAGGTACAGTTTTGTTCCACGTGGTTATCACGAGGAATCGGGAAACAGGG